TAATCTTGGCCTGACTTGTCAAGACTCGTTATTTCATTCCTAAAAATGAAGTCTTTTTCTCAGCTCTTGTGGCTGTTAGTGCTCTGGATCCCTGATAAGGGCAAAGGAAGATGAGGAATGAGAGTGAGATGGAAGGGTGAGCTCTCAGGCCCACTTCTGCCCTATCCATGTGTTAGATGTGCAGATCTCGTTATCATGATGGGCAAGTGACATTTAGGTCTGGGAAAATAAGGAACTTCCCAAAAAGAGCTTGATGCTTTGTTTGGCCCAAGACTCTGCTAGGTGGGAATACCACGGGTGCCAACTAGAGACACATTTATGCTTTAAAAATGTCTCATTTTTACAAATATTTAGTATTTTAGATTCTGGTTTAAATCATGAAATATGAGTAATAGGCAAATAATTATCAAATTAGATGTAATAAATGTATATGCCCCTATAGTTGTACATAACCTTGCACCTCTAACTTATTCTAATTTCAGGATGCAGTAGAGATGTTGTGCTGACCCAGACTCCATTCTTACCTGCCAGTCACCCTGGGAGAGCCGGCCTCCATCTCCTACAGGGCTAGTCAGAGCCTTCTAGAGAGTGATGATGCTTATCTGGCATGGTTTTTGCAGAAGTTTGGCCAGTCTCCAGAACTCCTTATCTATGGAGTTTCCAACTGAGCGTCTAGTATCCCAGTCAGATTCAGTGGCAGTGGGTCAGATACAGATTGCACACTGAAAAATCAGCAGGGTGGAGCCTGGGGATGTTGGAGTTTATTACTGCTTTCAAGATACACATTTTCTTCCCACAGTGATACAGCCTTGAACTAAAACCTCCCATCTGACTGGGTGAGTTGCTTTCATGGGTTACTTGTCTAGGGGCACAGCAGAAAAGATTGTCTGAGTGTGCGTAGGACATTCATACAATGGTCAATGTGAGTGTGACTCTGAGAGTAGAAGAGTATGTGGCTACATACAATTTACAAAGACCAAGAGAATAATCATGGAAGAACAAAACCAGGAGACTTCAGATCAACCATAGGGTATTGATTGAAAATATTCCTTGTGTCTTAAGTAGCATTATGGCTAGCTAGCAATATAAGAATCAAATGTCTACTGCAATGTAAGTTTGTTCCCTTTGTAATGAAAATTATAGTAATTCCATCAAGCACACCATCTCGGTTCATACTTATAGTATATGATTTGCTTTCTATTCAGAATCTGGAAGCCCAGTTATGCATTTTCTAGCTTCTGCTCTCTGTGTTTCCCAAGTCTTTCCTGACTATCAAACTATTAGCAGAGTTTGATAACTGTCCTTTGGCTGTATCAACCTGGAACAGTTACAGTACTGGACTTTGTACAATGGTCTCTGGCCTTCTGTGTCCTGGTACTTTACAAGGGAGAGTCTGGTGAAACCCTGTAATAGTGTTCATAGGTTCCAGAGAATCTGAGATTGAGCTCTTGTTCAATGGACATAGCATTCACTGCCCTACCAGGTCAGCCTTTGTGATTTTACTTGAAAAACCATGGCATGAGGGAATCATCAATGCATTAGTTAGTCTTTTATCTACTTTTATCCCATTAAATAATGTCATTTTCTTTTAATGAGCCTTTCAGAAGCTTGGAAGTATGATACTGCACAGTCGAGGACTCGAGGATTGTCTGGCCTCCACCAGTGTCCAGTGTGCATCTGCCTCCGGTGGTGTAAACTGTTTTACCGTGATGCTCTCAAAGCCATCTCAAACTAAAGGATGAAGTTGGAGATACTATGATGCCACTGAGATAACATTCATAGGAGAAATACGATCTGCAATGTATATGATCTAATGGAATAATTCATGTAACTTATGGAAATTTCTAATAAATTGTATCCACAATTGTATCATTCTGCACAAGATTAGTATCATAGGTAGAGAGACTGTTTTTACTCCTCAGTTAGCCCATTTTAGATTGCTTCTATTTCAAGCATTACTCTCTCTCTCTCTCTCTCTCTCTCTCTCTCTCACACACACACACACACACACACCAGTATCAGTTCTTTTCTTTTCCTTTCTTTTCTTTTCTTTTTCTTTTTTCTTTTTTTTTTCTTTCCTTTTTTGCAAGTCCTGGGACTGAACTCAGGGCCTGAGCACTGTCCCTGAGCTTCTTGGCTCAAAGATAGTGTTCTACCACTTGAATGGCAGCACCACTTGTGGATTTTTTTCCCTGTGGATGTGGTACTGAGAAATTGAACCCAGGGCTTCATGCATGCTAGGCAAACTCTACACTAAGCCACATTTCCAGCCTTTTCTATAACAAAGCTAAGCTCTGAATAAAAAAGAATTTAAGATACAGAAAGTCCTAGATGTAATATTCTCATCAGTGTTCTCACCAGGTGATGGCTGTCATGTTTGTGGGAAAATATGGTGTGTCTATGAAAAGAGAACCAGCCACAAGTTGAAGTGGTCAAGCATATGATTGCCTTCCTTTTATCACAAATACTACTGTTGAACCTACTCTCACTTCAGGAGAGTAACTTTAGTCCTCCAGAGTTCAGGAACTCCCCTGATGTAATCACTTCCTACAAGACACCTTTTCCAATGGCCAAGTGGGGACCATTGGGACATCAGTACAAGCCTCCTTCTCCAGATGCTCCCGCTTCCCAGGTGATGTTGGAGACAAGAAAAAGACAATGAAAACTCTGAGATACTTATGCAAATATCGGTTAAATTAGATTGAAACTAGAGACATTTAAATGTTAAGTACTAATTTAAGTTAATCATAAATTATATGTATATGATTATGCATCAGAAGTTACACAAAGGGGTTTTGCCTCAGCATGTCAGTGTTTGAGTACAATGCATCTTGATCAATTTCACCCTTCCATTACTTTCTAGAGGGAACATTCAATAAAACCATTAATTAATTTGCTGTACAAATATAGTGTAGGACAATGAAAGGATATTTAGTGGATTTTAAAAATTAAAAAATTAAATTTGAAAATTTAATATATATATTTCCATTCTCTGATATAAATATTCTACCATTTTACTTTTCCCTTATAAATTCTACTATCTGTATTATTAGTTCACTCTCTATAAAAGAAAATCCTGTTCTCCTTGACATTTCTTTAAGTCTTAATAGGAAGTTCTTTGGAAACAGAATTTCTAACAATTGTAGATATTATCCTTGCTTCTTCTTACCCCTCTACTCTGTGCTCATATTGGTCAATTCCCTGAGGATCAGAGGAGCTGACAGTGTGCGCTATGTCTTTCTCTAGACTAGCTGAGGGAAGTCAGAAGAGCCAGGCCCAGTGTCCATTCTTTCCAAAAGACTGTCCTGGACTTATATATATAGTATGGTGGTAGGAACATGTGCACTCTCTGGAACCTGCAGTTCCAGACTTTTACAGTGGGGTCCCTCCTAGTACCACAGGTATCATGGATTTTTATTGATTATCATGAAACTCAGAACACACTTGACACTTTTCTCAGAAGAGCAGGCTTTACCTTCCCTTTTTCTTTCCTCACTCTGCTGCACCCACCTGGCTATTTGCATATTGCTCTCTAAAGAGGACCTTCCTTTCTAAATCTGAGATAAAGGCTCAGATCTGAACTTGCCTTGATCTGTCAAGACTCCTCATTTTACTCCAAAAATGAAGTCCTTGTCTCAGCTCCTGTGGCTGTTAATGCTCTGGATCCCTGGTAAGGACAAAGGGAGATGAGGAATGAGAGAGGGCAGAAGGGAGAGCTCTCAGGGCCCAGTTGTGCCTTATCAGTGTGTGAGATGTTCATGATAGGACAAATAATGTGTAGGTCTGAGAGAGTGAGAAACATTCCAGAATGAGTACCTGTGCTTGGGTAAAGATTCTGCTGGGAAGGAATACTGTCATTGACTTCTACAGACACTTTTGTGCTTCAAAAATATATCTTTTTAATATTTAGTATTTTGAGTTTATAAATCAAATCATGACTATGAACAAGAGGCAATATTTATCTAAATAATAGTAATAAACACATGGTTCTCTATGATTATATATAACCTTGCACTTCTGTCTTATTCTAATTTCAGGTTCCAGTGGAGATGTTGTGATGACCCAGACCCCGAGTTCCCTACCTGTCACCCTGGGACAGCTGGCTTCCATCTCCTGCAGGTCTAGTCAGAGCCTTCTGTATAGCGATGGAAACACCTATTTGGACTGGTATCTGCAGAAGCCAGGCCAGTCTCCACAACCTCTGATCTATTTGGTTTCCAAACGAGCATCTGGGGTCCCAGACAGATTCAGTGGCAGTGGGTCAGGCACAGATTTCACACTGACAATCAGCAGGGTGGAAGCTGGGGATGTTGGAGTTTATTACTGCATGCAAGCTACACATGATCCTCCCACAGTGATACAGCCTTGAACAAAAACCTCCCATCTGGCTGGGTGAGCTGCCCTCATGGCTGGCTGGTCTGGGGAGCAGCCCAGCAGATTTTGTGAGTCTGCCTAGGAGGAAGATGTTGAGATCAATGTGAGAGTGACTCTGAGTGGAAATGAAGAATCTGTGACAATATGACAAAATACAATCTATAATGACCAGGAGAACAATTATCTGAATATAAAGACCAGGAGACTTCAGATAAACCGTAAGGAATTTTTGAAAAATTTCTCTCTTTAGTAGTATTAGAACCAACCAATGATCTATGAATCAAATGAATCTTTGTAATGAAATTCTTAATACTTCCTTCAAGCACATCGAAGCCTACAACTTTAGCATATCCTGTGCTTTCTGTTCAGAAGAAGCCCAGTTCTACCTTATCTAGCTTCTTCTCTGTGTCCATCAAACCCTGCCTAACCATCAAGCCATTAGCAGAGTTTTATCATTGACTCTTGGTTGGATCAACCTGAGAAAGATACAAAATTGCACATAGCCAGTTGTCTCTGCATTCTCTGTCCTGGGGATCAGGATCTAATTAAGAGAGTGGATTGGGGTCAAGCCTGGGAATATGCTTCATATGTCCCAGAAGTCTGAGACTGAGCCCTTGTTCAATGGGCACAGCATTCACAGTCCAACCTGTTCAACCTCAGTGACTTCATATAAAAACCATGTCAAGAGGGAATCTTTCATATTTAAGTGTTTCTGGTATCCATTTCCATCACTTTCAACATTTATCATTTCCTTGTAATGGGCCTTTCAGAGGCCTAGAACTATGACATTGCACAGGCTGGGACTTGGGGGATACTCTGACCTCTACCAGTGCCCAGTGTGCATCTACCTCAGCTTGTGTAAACTGTTTCTGCATGATGCTCTCAATGCCATTTGGGAAGAAAGTAACATGACATTGGAAATGCTCTGAGCTCATAGGAAAAAATATAGGTCTGGAATGTATATTAACAAATGGAATGGCCTTAAGTCACTCTTGGGAATATCTTAACAGGAATAGTTAATGCCAAGTTTATCCACAACTGTAATATTCTGTAGAAGACTAGTCAGAACAAAATCTCAGCTCACACCTCTGTCCAGGCATTTTACCAGCGTACACAAAGTCACCTCTCTGATTTTCAATTCTCACTAGGCTCCTCATTGTATAAGTCTGTGTGAGTCATCAGAAAAGAAAAATAAATTATCACTGTGCCTCTACTAGAATGCTGTTGCTGTGTGATTGAAAAGTCAGTTGTGATCACTACTTCCTTTGTAAGAATTTTACCAATTGGGTTCTGGTTCTGGAGCTCACTTTGAGGTGTTTCCTGATATTAAGTCTAAAATCATAGCAACAAAAATTCATCACTGCATCTCCAGCACAGTGATTGATATTAGCTGTCATTACTACTTTCCATCTAAGAATTTTGATGATTGAGTGATGGGTCTGGAACTCATTTGGAGGTATTTTCAAATACGATTATTGAGTCTAAAATCATAGCAACAAAATTTCATTGTAATACGTTGATGAAAAATGACAAATTACATTAACTATTTCCAGTCTACATTTGACAAGCCTTTCTAGAAGACCTTTCTAGAAAACATGTATATGGGCAAATACACATACTAAAAATAACTGCATAACACTCATGTAGTTAAATATAAAAATATACTTGACTGCTCATTTTTTCTTCAGAAACCAGAAATATTCCCATTATCTCTAAGCACTTGTTACAAAGGCAATAGCGGATACATCTCTGTCCAAGGAATGATGCTCTGTGTTTTAACAAGGAAACAGGTGTCCAGGGAATGTTTTAGAATCCATAATTTAGGAAAATTTTACTTCAGCAAATGGGATCCTTTAAGGAAAGTTGTAGGCAACCCATTAACATTTTTCTTATTTAACAATCATTTCTGTTCATGGATGCTGAAGTGCAAATTCATAATTATTTCTGAGTTGAATCATCCAATTCAAATGACTATTAAGAGATACGAATCACTCCATGAGAGCAGCTTTATCCTTCCAAAAGGCAGCACCTCCAAAAATCTGAGTAGTTCTAACAGAGCACTGACATTTCAAATCCCACATCTGTTAGCATAGATACACAGGGGTCCACTGGAAAAAAAATCCTTAGTACTCAGGCCTTGTGGAAAAGCAAAATCTAAATGTTAGTAAATCCTTTCCTTGCATTTGTTTTCACATAAAAAGATATTGAAAAGATTGTGAAGTTATTGTCCTCTAAGAAAGAATAATATAATTAAAACCTTTCAATAACATGATAAAGTATTTGCTTGTACAGCTTGAATAGTCAATGGATTGGATTTTCTCCAAGTACTTTCTCAAGATACTTTCCTTCTGTTTACTTCACATTCCTAGACTAGCTGTCTCATGATTCTATCTCCTTTCTACTTGATTTCTTCTTCCTTCCTGAGTCTCTGGGAATTCTCATGGTATAAGGTTAATCAAGGTATATCTTACTTTTTTTGGTTTCCAACTAAGAGATCTTAAGGATTTTTTCCCAGTGGACCCCTGTGTATCTATGCTAACAGATGTGGGATTTGAAATGTCAGTGCTCTGTTAGAACTACTCAGATTTTTGGAGGTGCTGCCTTTTGGAAGGATAAAGCTGCTCTCATGGAGTGATTCGTATCTCTTAATAGTCATTTGAATTGGATGATTCAACTCAGAAATAATTATGAATTTGCACTTCAGCATCCATGAACAGAAATGATTGTTAAATAAGAAAAATGTTAATGGGTTGCCTACAACTTTCCTTAAAGGATCCCATTTGCTGAAGTAAAATTTTCCTAAATTATGGATTCTAAAACATTCCCTGGACACCTGTTTCCTTGTTAAAACACAGAGCATCATTCCTTGGACAGAGATGTATCCGCTATTGCCTTTGTAACAAGTGCTTAGAGATAATGGGAATATTTCTGGTTTCTGAAGAAAAAATGAGCAGTCAAGTATATTTTTATATTTAACTACATGAGTGTTATGCAGTTATTTTTAGTATGTGTATTTGCCCATATACATGTTTTCTAGAAAGGTCTTCTAGAAAGGCTTGTCAAATGTAGACTGGAAATAGTTAATGTAATTTGTCATTTTTCATCAACGTATTACAATGAAATTTTGTTGCTATGATTTTAGACTCAATAATCGTATTTGAAAATACCTCCAAATGAGTTCCAGACCCATCACTCAATCATCAAAATTCTTAGATGGAAAGTAGTAATGACAACTAATATCAATCACTGTGCTGGAGATGCAGTGATGAATTTTTGTTATTAAAGTGTTTTGAAAATAGTTGCTTCATATATTTGGGGCATGTTTTAGTTAATCCATCAGGAGTATAAATAAAATGCATTTATACTAATCTATTTGAGCCCTAAGTAACTCTGTGGGTATAACCTCAACTCAAGTCAAACATGTGATCATGTGGAAATTGTCCAATGTGTAATGATGGTGGAGATGTAAGATTGAAGGCTAATGTCTGGGGACCAAAGCATGAAACCCTGTTTTTGGGTGTCAGAGTGTTTCTGGTTGAAGTACTGTTGTGACACTGTGTATTATCAGTGAAAAATCTGTCAGATGGCAATTATTTCCATCTGGCTATCAATACTGGCTTTCTTTTTTTTTTTTTCATTCTGTGTCCATTTTTATTAGTACATTGATAATCTTCTATTCCACTGAATATTTTCTTCTTTTTTTTTTGATGTGCTTTGAACTTATTTTAAATTTAATTTAATTTTTTTTTTGTGAACATACTGTACAGAGGGGTTACAATTACATGGGCAGGATAATGCGTACATTTCTTATAAAGCATTGCAGCCTCCTCCTTTGTTTACCCTTCACATCCCTTCCCAGCCTCCCCCACACCCCCCCAAACCTCTCCCGTCCCCCCCCCCCCCCCCCCCCCCCCGCACCAACGTTGTAAAGTTCGTTTTCGACATGACAACTTGTACTTCTCATTGTTGCTACAGGTCCACTTGTATCCTTAAACGACTTGTTTTTCCCCATCTCCTCCACAAATTATACTGACATCAAATATAGTGAAAGCAGGAGTTATACTGTGGGGGAGGGACATACAAAGCAACAAAAATATAATCTTATAAATGGGTTAGAAACAACTGCATGGAAGAAAAAAACATTAGAATACTTATCTAAGGGTTCACTTTCCTAATATCACATTATCTGACCTTTTCCGCTTGACTCATACATATACTAGATATTGCAAATAAGGGAAACCATGGGACCTATGTTTCTTTGGGCCTGGCTTACTTCACTTAATATAATTTTTTCCAAGTTTTTTTTCATTTCCTAACAAATATGGAAATGTCATTCTTTCTGATGGAGGGGTAGAATACCATTGTGTATATATACCACATTTCCTTGATCCATTCATCTACTGAGGGGCATCTGGGTTGTTACCATATCTTAGCTATGGTAAATAATGCTGCAATAAACATAGTTGTGCTGGTAGCTTTAGCGTGGTCTTGTTTGTAAACATTTGGGTAAATGCCCAAAAGTGGGATTGCTGGGTCATAGGGGAGCTCTATGTGAAGTCTTTTGAGGAACCTCCATACTGCTTTCCAAAGTGGTTGAACAAGTTTACACTCCCACCAACAATGCAGTAAGGTTCCCTTCTGTCTACAACCCCTCCAGCATCTGTTGTTGTTAGAGTTCTTGATTTTTGCCATTCTAACTGGGGTGACGTGGTATCTCAATGTTGTTTTGATTTGCATTTCTTTTATGGCTAGCCAGGTTGAGCATTTCTTCATGTTTCTATTGGCCATCCTTCTTTCTTCTTCAGAAAACTTTCTCTTTAAGTCTTTAGCCCACTTATTGATTGGGCAGTTGTTTCTTTGAGGATTTGTTGTTGGGGGATTTATTTTTTTGAGTTCCAAGTATATTTTAGATATGAGACCCTTGTCTGTTGTATGGCTAGTGAAGATCTTCTCCCAATCCGTGGGCTTTCTATTGATCTTGCTAGCTATGTCCTTTGCCATGCAGAAGCTCTGCAACTTCATGCAATCCCAACTTTTCTTTGATTTGTTGTATGAGAAGGAGTGAGGATGTCTTGAGGGTACTAGCACCTTTCCCTTGGTTTCTGGGCCATCTTCGGTATGTGACTATCTATGGTCAGCAGGATGAAGATTTTCACTCTGTCAGTTTTTGCTGCTGGTGAGTAGAATCTGCTTTTACACTGCCTCTGGTTCCTTTGTCCTGGAATCTTTCTGTCGATATGTTGGCCATGGTAGCAGCTGCTGCTGCCACCACCACAGACCCTAGAGTGTTGGAATCTGTCTCTGGAACCAATCTGCCTGAAGTTTTCCTCTCTGGCCAAACTATTTGTACTATGATGGTATATTTGCTGTGACTCTAGCCTTAAATTTGCCACTGGAACAGTAAAACTGGTTTCTACCTGAGAGCTTATTTAGCCCCCATGTTCTCCTCTGCCATCTTCCTCCAGACTCTCTTGGTTTACATCTTAACAGGCAGCAACTTTTTCAAAAGTTAATGCAAAGAATGGAAATAATAGTAGAGAGAACATCTGAAGACACAATTCTAAAAATGATAAATAAAACATGACAAAATCTACAACGCAGCATGATTTTATCACTTAACATATATCCCATATATTGCACAACATGTCCTTGAAGATAAACTTCTTGACCTTAGGAAAAATTTTGGCAACAAACAAAATGCATGTACATAAAGTGTGACTGAACAATCATCTCTCTCTTGCTCTCTCACCCTCTGATCATACACACACACCTGTACACATACATATACATATACACACATACGTAGATACACACACAATGCATTTTTTCCACTGTAAAAGAAGGATGCTTTCTGTGAACGGATATGGAATGATACAAGTATATGTTGTTAATAAATTGAAGAATTATTTGGAATATATTTCATATAAAGTTGAAGAAAAACGATTTGGTATTCTAATATAAGCGGGGAAAAACCTTTAAAAACAAGCATACAGCAAGTGAATGTGATACCCAGTATCTGCGATACCCAGCAATGTGACAGATGGATTAGATATGTGATTTTTCTTTGAGCATGACTTCCTTCATTTTGTTAATTCTCACTTGTTGTGCAATATCAAACTTACACTTATACAAAAGGAATAGATGATGAGAAATATAAAGGAGGGTGAAATTATGATTCTTTAAGAGGAAAAGGAAATTGTGAAAGTCAGAGAGAATATCTGTGAATAAGAATCCACTCTCCTGAATGATTAGTTAGCCATACAGTCAGATCAGTAGATAATGTATTAAAAATTATATACAAATATAATTCTTGAATATCCAGGTGAACATAATTTGATATATTGAAGTTTGGAATTTTATTTCTCAAGTAATGAATTAAAAGTATAAATTAAACAAGCACCAATCATACAGTTTTCATCTACAAGACCCCAGATCTCTGTGACCAGAAATGTGATTGAGGAAAAAGAGCTGAGACATTAAATAGTACATCATAAGAACACTGAAGAATTCCTAAAACATTTTGTATTCTTTCCTTTTTTGGAACCAGGAAGCAAAATAGTATGTCAAGCACCATTGTCATCTTCATACATAGTGCTCATCTCATGACAAAAGAAAGGGTTTTCTTTTTATTCAAATAAGCTCATGAAAGTCCAAGATTTAGGAAATCAATGGTTTAGAGAAGATAACAGGGCATCTCCTTCTTCTATGACCATCAAGCAGGTGTTTCCCAGATCCCTGGAAATTAACAATTGAAGAAGATGACATCCAACTGGAACTGAGAATTTGAAGACAAGCTTTCCTCTTTGACCATCATTTCTTTCTGCCCAATATGTCCCAACAAGGACCAGGGAAGACATTAGCCAGAAAAAGAGATGCTGCCTGTTAAAGCTCTTAAGTGCTTGGACTTTAGTTTCTGTGAAATCAAATGGTTTATTGAGTCATGACACATAACAAAAGAAAAACATCATGTCCTAGGATAAGTTCCTATATCCATCAGTGAAAATACTGAATAGAAGTAGGACCATTTTTCTCTGGATCTAAACACCAAGAGCATTTTTGTCATCCTTCCCGAAAAGTTCATGCAATAATTCTATATTAGCTAGAAATGAGACAAGTTAGATTGTACATACAGTGGTCAAGTGTGGCTGTTTGTAAACAATGTATTTGGTGTTTAGGGATTGATTGAGGTTAGCAGTCTATAAATTCACTGTTACTAAAGATTTCTAATTTATGTGTGAGTGGCTACTCAGGTTTTAGTATTTTAATTAACTTTCAGAAAACTTTTGTCAAACTTTCATTCTATGGGCCTTTAACTTTTAAGTGATTAACTTTCCTTATCTCTTCCTTCCCCTTCTTCCAGCTTTCAAAATTTAGGATGATTGTTTTTATCATCCCTCAGAAACAAAGAGTAAACAGAACGTCTAGCACAATAAAGACTAACTGAATCTCTACAGCCCCAAGTCAAGTGACATTGAAGTCTCTCCAGTGAAACCTAGGGAGCATTGGCATCGAGGATTTCCAGGAATGGTGGTGGAGTTCCATTTCAGAATCACTAACATCTAACTGAAGACTACATCTCACTAACTCATTCAGCCATACTCCTAGATTATTCAGAATAAAAACATTCAAGAATGTTATGTCTAGATAATGAATGACATCCATAGAAGATGATTGAAGAATTATATCCCTCTAATCTATATTGTGTCCTTCCAATGCTGTTAAAACGAGGAAGGAAGTTTTCAGTTTGCTTCTTCCCACTTAACCACAAGAAAGGACACATTTTCCGAAGGATTGCTCATGTGTTTTGGAATGATTTTGGTGGCTTACACTATCACTCATCTTTTTGTTAAGTTATTTCTTTCTCTCAAAAGAGTTTCTATGTTGTTGTGTTTCCAAAGTTTGGTCCCCTGAATTCACAAAGCTAATTCACAAAAAAATGGCAGCAGTGTGTTGAGGAAAAAGAAAATAAGGCTTATTATTTGTCACATGTCAAATGAGAAGAATAGTGAAGATTTGAAATCAAAGCTCTATTATTCTACTAATCAGAGAAAAGGTCCCAGTTTTAAGAGGCTGCTCAAGGGGTCTGCTCCAGGCTACATGAAAGATGTCCATCCCAAGACTAAATGGTAGCACAATTGGTTCTTATCTTTTGGTTTACTGTTGTCTCATCTCTTTAGTTCTGTGTTTCTCTGACAGAGATTTAATAACTTTCTGGGTTGGAGAGATGAGAGGTGACTGTCTGTTTTGGTTGAAAGTATGTTAAACTTGTTTTCCCCTTCATGGGTATGTGAGATAGAAAGGGGAAACAAATGCAAGTTTGAATTTTTAAACATACAAATTTGTCCAGTAATACAAACTGCCTAGGAAGAATACAGAGGAGGGAAAGGACAGGTAGAGGAGAAGTAAGGCAAAATTTTACATTGATGTAAAAATCAGTTTTGGGATTTCTAGAACCCAACGGAACAATGCACTAAATAGATATGTTATGACTTGATTATGACAGAAGAATCAATGAATATATAACAATATAATTTTTTAGTAAAAAATCAATGAAAAATGAACAGACAATTCCTCAGAGAATTATAGGCTAATTTAGTGATTACTATGGTAAGATTGTATATAAAACCCTACAAATGAAAAGATAAAAATAAGCTAAAAATATTTGAAAAATAACTCTTAAAATGAGATTTATTTTTGCATTAAAGAGTTCTACTGAATCACAATCAGGTAACCACAGATAAAAAGCTGTTATACAGGAAAAGAGACTCTTGTAGAAAATTATGCCTATTTGCACAGGAAAATTCAATAACGTCCTGGATTAATTTTATCATTAACAATTGAGGTTAGAATATAGTAGAATGGCATATGTGACAATCAATTAGAAAAGAAAAGCCAACCAAGAATATTGTATTCATGACCCCATACCTTAAAATTGAAGGCAAAAAAATAACATTGTTTTTCTAACTGTAAATGAAGAGAAATTGGTATGTGCAGACATACTCTGGCAGAACAAGAAGCCTTTCAGAACCAAAGGAAGTGATAGGAAGGACGCAGAACCTATGAGGGTAAAAGACCTCAAAAGGATTTCAGAAACAAGAAGCTGAAACCACATAAAAGTTCTCTCTTCCACTTATGTGATGGTCAAGTCTAGGAAACAAACTATAATGCCACATGTTGGGACTGTCTGTTATGGACTGGAGTAGGGGCCTTTGCATAACTTGATACTGAATACCATGATTTGTCTGAATTGTAGATCTGTGCTAAACATTGTACATTTCTTATTTTTGCTCTCTACATTACATGTAGTTTATACTAAGCAAAATAAAATGACCAGACCTAAACTTGTAAACAAATACCTAGAAAATAAATAAGAATGACTCAATATTTATAGAAATGCATCCTTATCAAGAAAACTGTAAAACATACCAGAAAGGGTTGAAGAATTAGGCAGCAGACAAGAGCAGGAGGAATCATGAAGGCATTCCCTTTCTAGGGAACACACATTAGATTTCTCTTGCTTTACTTGGTCCCAGTTAATGTCATTTGCTCACAGGAGAGGCCCCACCCTCCCGGTGTCTGTTTCCCTCTCACCTGACAGTTTGTCTCTCACCATTGCACCCACCAGGACATTTGCATATTGCTCCTTAGGGAGGAACTCCCTTGCAAGTACAACATAAAAGCTCAGCTCTAAGCTTGCTTGGACTGACCAGCATTGCTTACTCTCAAAATGAGGTGCCCTGTTCAGCTCCTGGGGCTGCTCTTGCTCTGGGTATCAGGTAAGAACACACTAGAGCTCAGGAAGGAGATGGGGAGGGGCTGAGCTCTGCTCCCCATGTGTGTTATGTCCACTCCTGCATATTTGCCCTCTTGAATGGAAATATGTATCTTTGAGAGTGAGGAAGATTCCAGAAAGAGCAAAGCCCCATGCAGTTTTACAAATTCTGATATGTGTATGTGTGTGTGTGTGTGTTCATCATGTATTTAATGAACATTGTGTTGGATGAAACAAAAATTTAAAAAAATTATAGCCTGCAATAAGATAATTGTGAAAATGTCTCATGATGCCTGTAATTAACCCTGTCCACTTTTCTAATTATTTTAGGATCCAGTGGAGATGCTATATTGACTCAGACTCCACTCTCTCTGCCTGTCACCCTGGGAGAGCCAGTCTCCATCTCCTGTAGGTCGAGTCAGAGTCTCTTATATAGTGATGGAAACACCTATTTGTACTGGTTCCTACAGAAGCCAGGCCAGTCTCCACAAGCCCTAATCTATTTGGTTTCCAACCGGTATTCTGGGGTCCCAGACAGATTCAGTGGCAGTGGGTCAGGCACAGATTTCACATTGAAAATCAGCAGGGTGGAGGCTGAGGATGTTGGCGTTTATTACTGCTTTCAACATACACATGTTCCTCCCACACTGATACACCCCTGAACAAAAACCACCCTGACTGGTGCAGCAGAACTGTCACATGTAGCCTTTTTTAGGAGCAGCACAACAGCTTTTCTGAGTGAATGTGAGAGCAAGATGCTAGAGAAGTCAGGATAGTAAGTCACTGTTGTGCTCTCTGATCCAAGCATTTCTGATACCCTTTAGGATATTGCAGCAAAAGCCATGGAATTGTACAGGCAGCCATATGGCTCCTTTGGCTGATGGGATGATAATGCATCATATCGTTTAATAAATAATCATTCTGATTCCATTTTCTTCTCTATCATTTGTCCACTCGATTTGAACACTACAAATTGTATAGTTAATATTTAAAAACTAGTGCTTTTCAAATAATTCTCATCTTTGGCTGTGGTGGTGGGATTTACCAGCTCAGTATTAGCCTAAGCTATATTGTGACTTCCAGTGCTAAAGGGAACATGTGCACACAGCATGTCCAGTTGTGGGAGATGAGAGAGGGCTGCAGGATCAGTGCAGTCCCCAGCAGGTCACCAGAGTCCTCTGCAGTGAGCAGGCCACTGCTTGTGCTCAAGGGCACAGACTGTGTCCTAAGCTTCATCATGCCCAGGCTAAGAGTGAGGGAAGGACAGCCGAGTGACTCTCCATTATTCCCTAGATTTCCTTCTCAGTTTCAGAATTTAAAATGATATGTTATACAATTAAATATTAGTTTACCAATCAATTAAATTAATACCTAATTTACCACATATACACAATAGACATATAGCTTTTGCATTCATGCATTTATGCAGTGCTCCTGGATGTTCTAAGAACAGACTCCACTGGTTTAAGACACTGTTCTTAGGACTCTGCTGACTCTCCTCATTATCCAAGTCCCTCAGAAGCAGTGAGAACGGCCCTTGAGCATCCTTCCAACACAGTCCTGGCCCTGGAGCTTTTTCCAGGGCCAGGAGGCTTTTCTGTAGGTTGGTTTAAGAGCTTTGCGCCCGTTGGCCTTGGCTCTTCTTGGCTTGGGCAGGCGCTTGCTGCTTGCACACGCTGCTCTTGGTCTTGGCGAAGCCGCAGGTACAGCTCTCGCCAGGACTCACCCTTTGCTGGTTTTACATCTTTGAATGCTTTGCAACAGCGGATTTGCCACAGCCTGCCTGTACCACTGTGCTCCACTGTCCTCTGGTGAGTGTTCCCTTGAGGCTGGTGCGCAGAAGGGGTAGAAGTCTGGGAAATGGGTGCTAGGAGAATGCAGGGCGGCCTGGGAGTGGCTGGAGTGCTGTGTTGCAGGAGCCCCTGGACATCCTGGGGACACCAAGGAGCGAGGGAGTCGTGCTTTGGTCCAGAGTACAGTGGCATCTTCCGGGACTTTCTGACAAAAGGCAAGGCCATCTCTTCCCCTCCCTCTCCCTGTCCCCCTTTGCCTTATGCTCCCCTTCCCCCTTCCCTTTCCTCTCCCTTTACCCCTTCCTCAACACCTCCTCCTTCCCCTTCCCATTCCCCTTCTCCCACTTCCCAGGCCACAGAGGCTCCTGGCCTAGATGAAAAGAGGGAGGGCATCCTTTTCAGGTCAGGCAGCCGACCCGAATAGGCCTGCAGCCAAGGGAAGTTATAGGTTTCAGTGCTGAGCTGCACCATTGGCACCCTGACTGCTACTGTGGAATTGACGGGACTGGCTGGATTGGCGGCTGAGGTTGGTACCAGCTGTCCCGCCTGGTTTTCCTGGACCTTGCTTGCCTTTGGGACTGAGCTGTGCACGGAATCCGAGGGTCTTCTGGGGCCGCTGGAGCCATTCCTTTTCAGGCCTCCTGAGCCAAGGCAGCAGCACGAATCCTGTCCTTGGTCCTCTGTCTCCTTGGCAGCAGCTGGGTCTCGTTGAGGGCATCCTCGAAAGACTGTGGAGGTGCCCGGAATTGATGCTGTTGCTGGGATTTGCTCTTGGGATTGCGCCTGCGCAACTTCGCTGCCTGCGTCTCTGGATTGCCAGAGGTCTGCTTGACCTTAGAGGGCAGGGGGCCTGAACCTCTCTTCCACTCTTCAGAGGATCGGCACCCATCTTTTGGTCTGGCCCCAGCCTGTCCCTGGGGTTCCCAAGGGAGACCTTCTTGTGGGAGCCCTGGTGAGTCCGGAGACTGGGGAACTGGTCCGCATGCAATACCAGGCATGTCCCGGATATCAGTGGGCCCAGGGTCCCGCGAGACTCCAGAGCTGTCCACAGCCCAGCGATGAGACCTGCTGCTGCCCCCAGAGGACTCTGGGTCCACTTGGGGATGTTTCTCCTGCCTGCTCCTGGGACAAGGGCTGGAAGACCTCTTTCCAGGTCCCTGGAACTCACACAGCTCCCCGGGCCCTGGGGGCTCTGGCCCAGAGTTGGGGCCTCCCCTCCCCTCTGCAGTTTCTTTCCCCCTGGAGCCCCAAACCACACTTGACTCTTTCAACTTGTCCTCTTGCACCCACCCTGACTCTGACAGCCCAAGAGCCTCCTTCCTGGACTCTTGAGCGCCATCCTGTTCAGAGACCTGCTGTAGAATCGCCGAAAGAAGCGCTGGGTTGCAGCCCAGGAGAGCCAAGGTCTCCCAGCGTGTGTCCAGCTCCTTTGCCATACTGCCCACCAGCGGGTGCTTCCTAAAACCCTTCACTATCTCTCTGACACCCGTGGTACCAAGGATTTCTGCCGTTATGGGCAAGACAGAGAGCAGACTCAAGGATTTGCGGAGCTCCTCCATATGTGTGCTGGAGGCCAGGTGCACTTTGAGAAGCATCACGGCTCCCCACACCCACTCGGTGGTCTGCGTCCCTATGCCACCCCTGGCTACGTCTACAGAGATGTGGGAACCACAAGCCTGGACTCCTCCATCCAGGGGTTCACTTGCCCTGCTCTGAGAGGACAGATCCACATTTGATGCCTTCAACAGGTCCTCCTGCTCCCTCTCACCATCCTCCACCTCCCTCTGCCCCTCCCCCTGCCCAAGATCATACTTCCTGGGCTCTAGACCTCCATCCTGGTCAGGGACCTGGCTCAGAGCCTCTGATTTGTGGCTCAGAACAGCCAAGGTCTTCCAGTGTTTGTCCAGTTCCTTGGCCAAACCGGCCACCTGTGGGTGCTTCCTAAAACTCTTCACTACCCTTCTGACACCCGTGGTGGCAAGGATTTCTGCCGTGATGGGAATGACTGAGAGCAGCCTCAGGGAATTAAGAAGCTGGTCCATGTCTGTACGGGAGGATAGGCGCTTCTGGAGCTGCCGCACAACTCCGTACACAGACTCAGCATTCTCCATCCAGATGCCACCACCGACCATGTCTACAGAGATGCTGGGCCCACTCACCTGTGTTCCTGGATCCTGCGGATCACTCGCCCTACTCTGAGAGAACGCACCTACATTTGAGGACTTCAACATGTCCTCCGGCTCCCGCTCCCTTGTCCCCTTCCACTCCCCCTCTCCCAGATCATCCTTCCTGGGCTCTTGACCACCATCCTGCTCAGGAACCTGGCTCAGAGCCTCTGATCTGCACCTCAGCACAGGCAAGGTCTTCCAGCGCTTAGCCAGCTCCTTGGCCACACTGCCCACTTGCTGGTACTTCCTAAATCCCTTCACTGTCTCTCTGACACCCATGGTGGCAAGGATTTCTGCCGTGATGGGCATGACTGAGAGCAGCCTCAAGGATTTGTATAGCTCGTCGACATCTGTGCTGGAGGCCAGGCGCTCCTGAATCTGCCTCACGGCTCTGCACTCCCACTGGGCTGCCTCCATCCTTCTGCCAACCCCGTCTATGTCTACAGAGATGCCCAGGACACTCACCTGGCTTCCTGAATGCTGTGGGTCACTCACCGTGCTCTGGGACTCTTCTTCTGGTCAGTCGCTGTGAGGCACGTAGGCTTCCTCCTGGTCCTCTCTGCAGCCGAGTCCAGAATGATCCTGCCCACCAGCTGCCTGCCTTATATAAACTCTTACTGCCCCACCTCTTCCCACAGTTCCTCCTGTAAGCCCCTCCCTGTCTCAAGCCTGTCACACCCTTACATCCTAGAAGGGGGTCTCCCAAGATGCACCTTGCCTGACCTTCCACAAGTCCCCTCCCTACAAGTCTCAAGTCTGGGTGTAGACTCTGCCCTTCTTGTCCGGAACTCCTGTATCAAGACATTATTCCTCTGACCTGGGGGACCAGGGGATAGTGCAACTGGCACCCTCCACTAACACTCCCATTTTCTCCATCCTGTTTACAGGATCCTCTGTATCTGGCCCTGTATTTTCCACCTTTAAAGATAACCCATAACCCTAGACATACTTTTGTAGTTGCTCCACAAACTCCAGGGCTATTCTTGCCGATTCAATGTCCTTCATCACCTGATGTGCGTTGGCACTTCCAGGATTGAACACTTGCTGAGGGAATTGCTGATCTCGCCTGCACCAATCCAACTAAAGGCAGTGGCCATTTGCCTGGTCAAGTTTAATAAATATATAAATGAATGAATAAATATGTACATATGTGTCTGTATGTATTTTAACCTATGTATATGTGCAAACATATATACATACATATATATGTATATACACAAGCATATATATTTACATATAATTGTTTATAGTTTATACGAATACAAATATATATATATATATATATATATATACATATATATGCAAATCTGTACTGGCCAGTGTCTTTTCCCAGTCTTTCCTTCCTCTATTGTTGTTCCTTTGGGGTTTGTGAGCTGCTTGCTTGCTAAGGAACTGTTTCGTTTGCTTGCTTTGTTTCAGAGACAGGGTCACACTGGGAAGACCAAGTTGGACTGGCGCTTTGGAACCTGGTGATTCTGGCGCCTGTAGGCTGAGCACTGGTGAGGACCATCAACACTTAGCTCCTACCCCCTGTGGTTAGGGTGTGTTTTGAACTGAGCTTGTTGCTCTTGTTTTGGGTAGATGGGAGAGAGTGCCTTGATCTTCTCCATCACATGATGGGTGTTGGCAGTTCCCAGGTTGGATAATTGTTTAGGGAATTGCTGCTCATGCTTGAACTAATCCAACTGAAGCCAGTGGCTATTGGTCTTCTAGACATAAGTGTATATATATATATATTCCCTTGTGTATATATGTATATATCCATACATATATACACATATATATACATACACATATGCAGAAACCTATACAAATGCACATATATTGCATATATACGTGTGTGTGTGTGTGTGTGTGTGTGTGTGTGTGTGTGTATACAGTGTGTACAGCCTT